TTCAACGCCAAGCCAGCTAGCATGGGCCAGCCACGCGGGTGTCTAACTGCAGAGCAGACATACCCCGAGAGTGCTGCTCCAACCTGCAACAGAGCTTGGCTGGTTCCAACTGCAAGCTCCACTGCACTCAAGAGCATGCAAATCCAATGAGAAGCACCAGCCGACACAGAAAAAGCCTTAGGCAGTGTCTTCCGCCAGTGACCAGCCCCCAGTGCAACCACTAGTGTAGACAGGAAAAGCCAAGCCATGATCCGCACCCAGGTAAGCTGCACCTTTGCCTGTCTACATTTTGCATTGTCACAACTATGTTAGTGCCCAGTCGCTGATGGCTGTTACTAGAGCACATCTCCTGAGTGCGCACAAGGCCTTCGCATATTTAAATGGAGCAGGTGCCCAAAAAAGCTTGGGAAACACTGGACCAAACTTCACGTTGCACAGAAAATCCCTGTCAAAGACATGCTGCCCAGGCAGTGAGAAAGCGAGACAGAGAATTCTCCTTTCAAAGGCAACTGGACTCAAAGGGCTCACCCACAGACGTAGATCAATTACACTGTTCCTCACAGGCTGCGACCTTCCCCAGCAGACCCCCATTCAGAGACTTTACTTCCTTTGATATTCCCCCGCCTTCTTCCTCCAAACAGTTCACTAGAGTGAAACATCACTAACCCCCCTCCGGTCTAGGCTCCAAGGAACAGAGCCATACGCCATTGCTGCCTATCGTCAAGATCCTCAAAGGTGGGTTTCTTCCTGTGCTGCCGGAGAGCAAATCTGGAGAAGTTTTTATAAAAATGCCGCAAGTAACCAGTCTTATAATGGCCTGAATCCCTTCTGATGTCTGTCGCAAAAGAAAGAGAGCCATTTGGGAAGTAATCAAGGTTTCTGAAAGAACACTGTCAGGTTAAAAAGATGGCCAGTATTTCCACACTGGTGAACTTAGCCTAAGACACCTAAACGCATCCTTGGACATGTAAGCAAGTGGCCTGATTTTCAGAGGTCATTCAGCTCTCACCGGTCACAATGACTTCAGGCCCCTATTTAGGTGGTGTAAAGATAGAGTGAGGTGCCCAATTTTAAGCACACAGGTTTGAAAACCTTGGCTCATATATATTTCTCTTTAAATTGGATCTCTGCCTCTGTTACAAGTGACCTCTTGGTTTAGCAATAGGACATCATCACTGAAAATCAAATCAATTTTTTCAAAATGAGTTTAAAAATCAATTTCACATAGGACACTTGCTCCCGTGTCCCCTTGTTGGCATTTGTGCTTTTACGATCACATCTTCCTACGTTTCTTTTTAAAATTTCTCTCCCATCACTGTGTGAAAGCCCCATATGGATGGGACAACAGCTAGCTGGCTACCGAGGGGGCAAAAGTGAAACTGACTCTAAGCCAGTGGTTCTCAAACTTTTGTTCTGGTGACCCCTTTCACATAGCAAGCCTCTGAGTGCGACCCCCCCTTATAAATTAAAAACATTTTTTAATATATTTAACACCATTGTAAATGCTGGAGGCAAAGCGGGGTTTGGGGTGGAGGCTGACAGCAACCCCCCATGTAATAACCTCCTGACCCCATGAGGGGTTCCAACCCCCAGGTTGAGAACCCCTGCTCTAAGCAGGGTTCGGGGGGTAAGAAATATTTTCTTATCTAATCTCTTTCAGATACAGTCTCAGACTCCAATCCTGTAAGCTGCTCCATTCAGGCAGCCCCACGAACCCCCACAGAGCCCCACAGATTGTAAGGAGGCTCCACACAGGCACAGGAATGGAGCAGTGTACACATCAGTCCCTTAGGTATTATTCGTAACAATAGCAGGCAAAACATTTTAAGCAGCATGATCACTGACGGTGAAAGGATGTTTCAAGTCAAATTCCTCTCTCTCCCTACATGCTGTTTGTTTACAATTTTTTTTTTTAATTTTTTTTTTTGTATTTCACTCAGCCTGAAAAAGGAGGGGAAAATATCACTGGTCAGTTTCACGGTTGTTTCTAGTAAATTTCACTTTCCCATTCTCAGGCACTAGCCCAGTGCATTGGCACACACACACCCCCTACAGCACTTACTGCTGGAGGCAGCATATGCTTAGGGATGATGGGGAGGTGCCCATGCCCTAGACTGGCAGGCCACACCCAGTAAAGCGTGTCGAACAGGCTTGGCTACCAGACTAGGAATCACTGGGATGGAATCCTGTGCAGCTGGCATGTGAATGCATTGGGAGAGTGAAGGGACAGAGAAGAGACACTCTCTGCCCTCTCTTTGCTCTTTCCACTCCTCCCGCTCCAGTACCCTCATGCAAGACAAAGCGTAGGATTGTGCCCTTACCCCAGAAGGATGAATTGGTGTCAACAGAGGAAGGTTTAGCAGAGGCCAACAGAACCTCATGTGACTAGTTCTTGTTGTTCCTAGTTCAAGGCTAATGAACCATAGTAAATATTCACGCAGAGCAACCCTGCTACACAGAGGTTAACCTCATTCAGCCGGGTACTGTGCTGGGGCACAACTGAGGTTGAGAATCTATTCTAAGCAGAGAAATTTCACCTGTCCTTACACATCTATAAAATTAAACACACACACAGACCACACATCTATTGTCTTTTGCCAAGGCCTGTTCTTAGTGTCCTGGTAAATAATCATTTGTTTTTTATGCATTCGACACTGCAGCCCAGAAGGTGGCCTATTTTCATTTTCAGCTGGCTCCAGATGGTGAGGGAGAGAGCGTGGCCTAGAGGATAGCACACTGGATTGGGACTCAGGAGACATGGGGTATAGTCCCAGCTCTGCCACTGGCCTGCTGGGTGACCTTGGGCAAGTCACATCACTTCTCCATGCCTCAGTTTCCCTATCTGAAAAATGGGAACGGTGATACGAACCTCCCTTTATGAAGTGGTTTGAGGCCTACTGATGAAAAGCCAAGCATTATTATTCTTGCCTCGGTTTTGGGGACACTAAAAATCATCCAAAATCTTTTATAAAAGAAAGCTTAAGGCATGTATGCGGGCCGCTGGGGAGAAGCCCGGCCCAAGTTCCAACTTAGAAACAGAGCACAGAAGACAGTCTTCAAAATCTCAGCACTGCCCCAAACTCCCAAACCATCTGCCAGTTGCAATCCGTAGCGGATGGATTCAAACACCAAGCAACGCACAAACGCCAGAATTCAAACTCACAACAGGATCCAAGTGCCAGGACCCAACGCACAATTAGCTCTCTAGGTTAAACATTAAAATAGTAAATGGCAGAGTTTTCTCAGCAAGGCACAAGTGCCAGGCAGGACTGAGCCTGCAGAAAGCATCTTGGCTACGGATTTTAAGTCACATCAGTCAGCACCCATGAGCTCCTAGTGCGGGGTTTCAAACCCACAGTCCCAGATTGCGACAGCAGGGTCACACAACAGCCCTGCCAATATTTCAAGTTCATAGTAAAAACACCTGGTAAGAAACTCCACATCTGCAGAGCAGCCATTGAAAATGGGGGGAAAGAGGAGGCGGGTACACAAGAACCAATGAGCTGCCTCCCGCTGCTTTAGTTTTTGTGGGCACTTGTAGGGCACTGCTGTGAAGAAGTTTGCAATGGCAGCAATGAGAAATACCACCACAGCACTTTCCGACTGAGGATTTCCAAGCAGTTTTGAAAAGGCAGGCCAGTATCAGTATCCCCTTTTTACAGGTGGAGAAACTGAGGCAGCAAGAGGTTAAGTGACTGAAGCCAGCTTGTCAGTAGCAGAGCCAGGAACAGACCCAAGGCCTCCTAATGCCCAGTTCCCTGTGCTCTGACCACTAGACAACACTGCCTCCCTTGGTGGGAGAGGGCCCTTTTAAACCACAGACAAACAGCACCAAAAAAGGAAAGAGTGGAATAAAGGCAAAGGCTGGGATTTTGGCTCCTAAATCCCTTAGGATCTTTGGAAAATCTCCACCATAATATACACTGATAAAGAGGAAACTTCCAAGCGATTAAACACAAGCCATGGTTAATACGGCACTTTTCATTTCCAAAACATTGCGCACACGTTACTGAATCCTGAGAGGCCGGTTATATTAGACCCATTCTGTGGACAGAGGAGGCGAGTTTAACAACTCACAGCAAAGGAGCACAGACCGAATTCAGCCCTGGGGTGAGGAGGTGCAGCCTCCACTGAAACCTACAGGAGCTGTGCCAGCTTCATGCCAAGAGCCATTCTGGCTTCCTGTCTCAAAGCCACTCCAGGCACCAAACTCCATCCGCAAACACAAGAATCTGGACAAATGCAGCAAGAGGCCCAGACGTTTTTCTGCAAACAACCCTTCCAAATATCCCAGTCTACAGCAGAAGCAGGATTTCCCCAAACTCTCTCTCTCTCCCACCCCACACACTCCCTTTCCCGTCTCTCTACCCACACCCACAGCTTCCTCGAACATAATACCCAGCAGAAACAATTTGAGCAATGTGCATCTTCGAGAAAACACCTTCGCTGTGTCATGGCAGGAGCACGGGGCGAAGGCATCACTCATAATGGGGCCCGATTCTGCACTCTGTTTCCGCTGTAGTCAAGGTAATTAACACGCAGCAGATGGCCGGATCTGGTCCCAAGTGGCCAAAGGGCAGGTGAGGTGGTCAAAAGGGGTGAGATACCCCATGGTTTACCACAGGAATAACGTTGCCACTTTCTATGTTGTATTTTTTCCCCAAAAAAATGGCCAGAGCCTCAGCTGGTATAAACTGGCGCAGTTCCACTGAGCGCTATCTGATCACGGCTGAGTTTCGACAACTTTGAGTCACAGCGGGCAGCACAGACTTTCAAGTCAACATAACTGCCCAGGTTGACATCAGCTGGGGATCTAGTCCCGTAGCTCAAAGTGTGTTTGTGTGTGTGTGTGTGTGTCAATCGGGGGGGCGGGGGGGGATCTGCTTAAAGCAGTGTCAGCTCACAGACCTCCAAAATTAAAAGCAAAACCAAAAACCGATCCAGCCAAAGGGGACTGTCTCAAGACCTGTTCTCCAGAATTTCTTGTCTGATTCAATGCTTTTCCGTAGAGACTGTCATAAATTGCCAGTGATGACTATATTTCAAGTCATCGCGGCGGGGTATTGGGAAAAGTTTTCAATTAGCAATAATCATGCCTGGGATTAACTTCATTGGTTATGATACTGCTTGGCACACAGACCTCTCTCAGGCTGATAAGGAGCACAGGGCAGCCTGGAGTCCGCAGAGGAGACAAAGGTAATGGAAGTTTCAGAGGAAAAAAAGACGCATGGGCATTAATGGTGCTTGTGCTGAGGGGAAAACGCTCGGGTCAAGAACATTTGATAGAAATACCCCAGGGGCCTGCGAGGATGGATGGACCAAGAGAGTGGTCAAGCTTCTACCTAGACCTGGTTAAGCCAACTCACAAACACCAGGCTGCCAGACCCCATGGGCAACCTCTCCATTCATCTCTCTGCTAGCAGCCACCCACCACACTGGCAGCGCTGTCTTTGCTGGCAGTCTACCAGCGCAGCCTCTGCGGGGCCAGCCTTCCCGCCGCCTCCCTGTGGAAGTACCCGCAGACACAGGACTGGCCTCCCCCAAGAGCCTGGCTTCTGAGACGCCAGCCGCCCTGCCCTCAGACTCTGCGCTACCAACCTCCCCGCCAGCGCCAGGGCCCCCTCCCACCTCCTGCCCCATGGTACCAACCTCCCCACAGAACCAGCTGCAAAAGTATCCACTTCTAAGGCACCAGCCTCCCCGGGCAGTCACTTGCCTCAATACCAGCCCCTCCATCACCGGCACCCCATCTGATGGGCCACTCCTGCTCTCCAAGCCGGCACCAGCCTCCCCAGTGCCAGCTGCCCATCCCATGCCAGCCCCAGACCCCACAGCCCCCACAACCTAAGCCCTCCAATTCTCCCCAACCCCCCATAATGTCCCCCTGCTTCAGCCTCCCAACTGCCCCCCAAGGTCCCCCGGTCCCAGGCTCCCCCCCGTCCCAGCCTCCGAACATCCCCCCAGTTACCCCCAGCCCCAAAACGTCCCCCAGCCCCCCAATGTCTGCCCAGTACCAGGCACCCCCAGTGCCTGCCCCCCAAAATCTCCCCAGGCCCCCAACGTCGCCCCCTGCAGCCCTGATCCCCAGCCCCCCGCGTCCCCAGCCCCCCCGCACAACCCTGCTCCCCAGCCTCCCAAGATCCCCCTGTTCCAGCCTCCTAACGCCCCCCAGTTACCCCCAACCCCAGGCTGCCAACGTCCCCCCAGTCCCTGGTCCCCCCAGCCCCCCAATGTCCCCCCAGTGCCAGGCCCCCAACATCTCCCCAGGCCCCCAACGTCCCCACAGTCCCAGGCCCCCTCACCGCCCCCCACTCCCCAGCCCCCCAACGTCCACCCAGTCCCCGGCCCCACGCCCCCCACATCCCTGTGCCCCAGCCCCCCAACGTCCCCGGCCCCCCCCCACGGCCCAGCCCCCCAAAGTCCCCCCAGCCCGCCACGCCCCAGCCCCCCAACGTCCCCCCAGGCCCCAGGCCCCCACATCCCTGCGCCCCAGGCCCCCAACGTCCCCCCAGCCGCCGGCCGCGCTCACCTCGGGGCTGCGGGGCGGCGGGATCCCGACCAGGCAGAAGGCGACTCCATTCATCGGGGAGCCGGCGGCGCTGGGCACCGAGCGGGGCGGCCGGGCGCGCGGGGACGGGCTGGGCTGGGCGGGCTCCGGCTCCGCCTCCTCCGGCCTCCGGCGCGCCACAGACTCCCCGGGCGGGGCGGGGCCAGCGGCCGCCGGAGCCCAGCGGGCCGCGGGGCGGGGCTGGCACGGCCAGGGACGGAGAGACACGGGGGGGCCCCGGGACAGGGACAGACCGCGGGACAGACACTGACAGGGACAGACCGCGGGACAGGGGGACAGACTCCGGGACAGACCCTGACAGACACAGATCCCGGGACAGGGACAGACCCCGGGACAGACACTGGGACAGACACGGGGGGGCCCCGGGACAGGGACAGACCGCGGGACAGACCCCGGGACAGGGACAGACCCTGGGACAGACACGGGGGGGCCCCGGGACAGGGACAGACCCCGGGACTGGGACAGACACCGGGACAGACCCCGGGACAGGGACAGACCCTGGGACAGACACGGGGGGGCCCCGGGACAGGGACAGACACTGACAGGGACAGACCCCGGGACAGACACTGGGACAGGCCCTGACAGACACTGGGACAGGGACAGACCCCGGGACAGACACTGACAGGGACAGACACTGGGACAGACACGGGGGGGCCCCGGGACAGGGACAGACCGCGGGACAGACACTGACAGGGACAGACACTGGGACAGGGGGACAGACCCCGGGACAGACACGGGGGGGCCCCAGGACAGGGACAGACAGACACAGACCCCGGGACAGGGGGACACGAACAGACACCGGGACAGACACTGACACCGGGACAGACACCAGGACAGGCACTGATGGACACAGGGACAGACCCCAGGGGAGACTGACAGGAACAGACACCGGGACAGGCACTGACGGACACGGGGACAGGGACAGAGGGACAGGGACAGACCCCAGGACAGGCACTGACGGACACGGGGACAGAGGGACAGGGACAGACCCCAGGACAGGCACTGATGGACACAGGGACAGACTCCAGGACAGAGGGATAGAGACAGGACAAACAGACAAGAATACCCCAGGACACACAGACACCAGGTTAGAGTTAGGGACTGGCATGGACAGACAGACAAACAGAGTGACAGGCATGAATGGACAGAGAGAGGGACAGGAACTGGCATGGCCAGACACAGGGTCAGAGTCACACCAGGACAGACAAATACCAGGGCTGATGGACAGGGATTGCCATGGACAGAGAGACACCAGGAGGGGCCTTGGGCGAGGCAGAGCAGGACATGGACACAGGAATTGGCAGGCAGACAGACAGGGGGACGGGTAGAGAAGGGACTGGCACAGGGCAGGGACAGTACAGGCACAGACATAGAAAACAGGAGGTGGCATGGTGAGAACCACACACAGAGAACCGCAGAGCTGGGATAGACAGAGGGACTGGCAGAGACAGACACTCTTAGGGGGTCCCAGCTTCATCTCCCCAAAGAGAACCTTACACAAGCAGCAAAGAAAGGGTGGACAGTGGAGGGCACCATTAACCCTTTCTGCACTTCCCTGCCACCTGCAGCTTTGCCCATGGTATACAAAACAACCCTGCAGGTGCTGAAAGGAAAGCCAGGAACAAGGTGCGCGTGAAGACACTGGGCATCACAAAAGCCTCTGCTCTGCCACTTCCCTCACCCTGCCCTGTAAATGCCTATTTGCTTCTCAGCATCAAAATAATCATTAATCAGTTTTTAAGCATTGCACAGAAACAGAAGAACATAAGAATGGCCCTACTGGGTCAGACCAAAGGTCCATCTAGCCCAGTGTCCTGTCTTCCGACAATGGCCAATACCAGGTGCCCCAGAGGGAATGAACAGAACTGGGAATCATCAAGCGATCCATCCCCTGTCACCCATTCCCAGCTTCTGGCAAACAGAGGCTAGGGACAAACTAAACTCTCTCACACATACACAATTGCCAAGGAGAGTGAAAACCTCTCCCTTAGGGTGGTGCACCACAGGAAGGATGGTCCAGTGGTTACACCACTTGCCTAGGATTTGGGAACCTTGGATTTAATTCCCTTCTTCCGCTCTACTCCGCGCTGATTAGGCCTCAACTGGAGTATTGTGTCCAGTTCTGGGCGCCACATTTCAGGAAGGATGTGGACAAACTGGAGAGAGTCCAGAGAAGAGCAACAAAAATGATTAAAGGTCTAGAAAACCTGACTCGAGGGAAGATTGAAAAAACTGGGTTTGTTTAGTCTGCAAAAGAGAAGACTGAGAGGGGATATGGTAACAGTTTTCAAGTATGTAAAAGGTTGTTACAAGGAGGAGGGAGAAAAATTGTTCTTAACCACTGAAGATAGGACAAGAAGCAATGGGCTTAAATTACAGCAAGGGAAGTTTAGGTTGGACATTAGGAAAAACTTCCTACCTGTCAGGGTGGTGAAGCACTGGAATAAATTTCCTAGGGAGGTTGTGGAATCTCCATTAGTGGAAATTTTTAAAAGCAGGTTAGACACACACCTGTCAGGGATGGTCTAGACAGTACTTAGTCCTGCCACGAGTGCAGGGGACTGAACTAGATGACCTCTCGAGGTCCCTTCCAGTCCTACGATTCGATGCATTAAATAGGGATCATACATCCCACAGGTATCATGAGGGGTTATGGAGGCCATAAAGTGACACCGAGCAGTTAAAGCAAACTCATGTAGGCAGCATTCTAAAAATCTAGCCCTCATTGTGGGTTCTTAACAGCAGCAGATGTTATTACAGTTTTATTTCAGTTATCAGGCCTCCTCGCCAAATCCCAGCGCTGCCAGCCAGCGCTCGAAACAACCCACCTCCCTCCTCACCAACACGGAAACGGAGATCAACACCGGAACAAAAAGGGCAAAATGACCTGGAAAGTGGTGCTCATACCTAACAGACTAGACAGCTCGGTATTTTCATCCAGGATTTCTAAATTGCCTTGGGCTGCATTGCCCTACGTACATTGGTTGGGTATTATTTTACTCCCAGTTTGCACTGGTGTAAATGTCTGTGCAAGGTGCGGGGCAATGGGAAATGGGTGCTATGTGCATATGTGCTGGAACTAGGGGGGCTGCCGCACCCCCGGCTTGAAGTGGTTTCCATTGTACAGGATTTACAGTTTGGTTCAATGGATCTCAGCACCCCCACTGTACAAAGTGTTCCAGCACCCCTGAGTATATGCCAGCCCTGTCCTCCACAAGACAGTTGCTCCATTTAGCAGGGTTTGAATCAAGCCATTCATTCCCCCAATTTCTCCTTCACCTGACATCAGTGTGTCGCAGAATCCCCTGGGGCCCACACCAGTATAACTCCAGTCACTGTAATGCTGCGATTCTGGTTCACACTGGAGAATCCGGAACAGAACCCAGGAGTCCTGACTGCCATGTCCCAGCTATAAATTGGAGCATCAGGGCCGCAGCTCCTATTACGCAGGTTGAGCCCACCAAAATGTCATCTTCCTTCCTGCCAGAGCCAGACTCAGCTGAGCTAGTTCCCCTTCGTTTCCAAGCCATCATCACTCAGGCTACATAATTCAGCAGAGAGGAAATGGAAAG